GTGAAATGGATCTATAAAACCAAGTATAATGAGCATGGAGAGCTTGAGAAGCACAAAGCACGCTTGGTGGCCAAGGGGTACACGCAGAAACATGGGATAGACTACACCGAGGTCTACGCTCCAGTGGCAAGAATGGAGACAGTGAGGATGGTGGTGGCTCTTGCGGCTCAAAGAAATTGGAAAGTATTCCAGTTAGATGTGAAATCAGCCTTCCTCCATGGTGAACTTGATGAAGATGTGTACGTTGAGCAGCCAAAGGGTTATGAGGTCAAAGGAAGTGAGGACAAGGTCTACAAGTTACACAATGCTCTATATGGCTTAAAGCAAGCTCCACGAGCTTGGTTCAGCCGCATCGAAACTTACTTTCTCAGTGAGGGTTTCGAAAGATGTCCAAATGAGCAGACTCTCTTCACAAAAGGTAGCAAAGAAGGTAAAATACTTATTGTAAGTGTTTATGTTGATGATCTAATCTATACTGGTGATGATGAAGAGATGATGAGTAATTTCAAGCATTCAATGATGCAAGTTTTTGAAATGACTGACTTGGGAAAAATGAAGTTCTTTCTCGGCATTGAGGTATCCCAACAGCCTGATGGTATCTTCATATGCCAAAAGAAATATACACAGGAGGTTTTGGAGCGATTTGGAATGCTGGACAGTCATGCAGTCAATAGTCCAATTGTTCCAGGTTGCAAGTTGAGCAAGGATGAAGATGGAGTTGTAATTAATGAGTCATATTACAAGCAAATTGTAGGGAGCCTCATGTATCTCACTGCAACTCGTCCGGACATAATGTACACTGTGAGTTTGATCAGCAGGTTCATGGCTAAGCCTACAGAGATTCATTTACAAGCTGCCAAAAGGATATTAAGGTACTTGAAAGGTACCTTTGATTATGGAATCATGTACAAGATACGGAGTTCAGATGACTTGATTGCCTACACAGATAGTGACTATGCTGGTGACTTAGATGATCGGAAAAACACTTCTAGTTATGTTTTTCTGTTAAGTTCTGGAGCAGTATCTTGGCTTTCAAAGAAACAGCCGATTGTTACATTGTCAACCACAGAGGCAGAGTTTGTGGCAACAGCTGGGTGTGCAAGTCAAGCAGTGTGGATGAGAAGAGTTTTGGAGCAGCTGGCACATGCACAAAAGAAGGGCACTATAGTCATGTGTGACAACAGATCCACCATCAAATTGTCAAAGAATCCTGTCATGCGTGGGAGGAGCAAACATATTGATGCACGTTTCCATTTCTTGAGGGAACTTGCTAAGGATGGAACCATTGAGTTGTTGCACTGTGGAACAGAGGAGCAAACTGCAGATGTGATGACAAAGCCGTTGAAGTTGGATGCCTTCCAGAAGCTTAGAAGTCAGATGGGGATTTGCAAGGCAGCTGAACTAAACTAACTATCTACCACAGTTAGTTTAGGGGAGGGATTGAAAGGATAATTATTGCTTATTTTTAGGTGTTTACTGAGTCTTGTTTACTGGGTCTTGCTTCTGTTAAATAAATCCCTAGTCTTTAGGATTAATTGAGACTGTTAGTGGTCAAATTACACTAACCACGTTAGCTGATGTTTAGCTAAACGTGAACTTTATTTCAGCCGTTCTGTTAAGTACTGTAAGGGCTATATATATAGCCAAGATTGTTCAATAAGAGTTCAAGTCATTCATCCAGAATATCATTAAGCTTTGTTGTGTTATTGTTTACTTCATCAGAGCTTCCCCAACAATCCTAATATAAAAGGAAACAAAAATTCAAAAATAATAACTAACCTTTATTCTATTTATATGAGAATTGTCTTACATTAGAGTGGCCATAGAAAAGACGATATTAAAAGATGATTAGGGGGGAAGAAACCAATTTATAGTAATTGTAAAATGTTCCAATTATTTTTAAAATGGGGTTGCACCCGTTATGTCTTGAAATTTTCCAATCATTTTTTTTTTTCAAATTTCAAACAAATGCTGCCAACTAACGTTATATTAATATAGAAGGGCTAGATCTACAGAAAGAAGCCCATAGAATTTCACCAGAATACACAAATTTGTGGGTCCTGCGCATTTTTTTTAAATACATGGTGGGTCCCCTCTCATTTGTGTGTATTTTGGCCAAATTCTGGTGGACTTCTTTCTGTACAAGGAGGGAAAACCATATTAATATATCAAACATTAAAAGTTAATAAGGTCTCGAAATGTATGTACAGTACATTACATGATAACATTTAGAACATCACAAATCTAGGATGTAGTATAATTGTATAGGATATAATTAAAATTTTATATGTCAATTTGGTAAGTTGTTAAATCATTATAGGGACTAGCACTTGCTCGATATTAGAAGGTCAAAGAAGTTGATGAATTGATTACAGAAGAGTTGACAGACGAAATCTTGTTAAACGAATGTTATAACTGTAACAGTAGTCAAACGAGGCCTATGTGGCATGCCTCGAAGGCTATTTAGTTCGATGCTGCAGCCCAACTTAATAAAATATCATTAGTGTTTTATTAGGGATGGTAACAGGGACATAATGGAGATTAAAATATTTTCATTTATCTCTCATTCAATTATATATTTATTTCTTAAATATGATTTAGATTCACAGTATGAAAAAATCGAAATGAGAAAGACATGACAATGTGAAGCAGGTCGAGAATGGTAGCTTCTTTCATCCATGTATTTTATATTTATGTACCAAAATTTATAAACTTAAAAAGAGTTTTTTTGAACTTTTTTCATCCTTAATTTTGACAAATAATATTGCAAACATACCAAAAAGTTTAGGACAGCTCTGAAAAACGAAGATGTTGGTTGTTTCCCACTGCAGACGGATTAGTTTAATATATTTTCACTCCCCACAATTATATGTCAATTAAACGGCTATAATACAGCTAATTAATCAACCCCCAAAAAGATAATTTTATAACCCTTTATCTGTCAGAACACTCTGTCTCCATTATTACTTCAATTATTTATGCAATGTGAACCAGTCATTGATTAGATAATCATTGTTTAATAAAATTATCAAACGGGCACCTACCAACTACCAAGTGTCTCAAAGAAGAATTTAGTGATTATGGTTTGATGGCAACCACAGAATGCTAATCGATCAAGGAGAGTCGGAAACTCATCTAACCATGATCTTAGCTCGATCCATCAGGCAAGCTAGTCCATGCTCGTTTTTGAAGAATCGTGCATGAGTCAGCTTGCCCTATGATTTTTTGTTTTCTTTTAAATCAATATTTATTCAATTTAGATAGCCAAATGATAGCCGGATACGATTTGATGGTACTTCCTAATGCAGGTGCCATCAAATTAGCAGCGTACTTATAAGGGCTTATCAATTGGCTTGTCTTGCGACCAACATGCCGCTTAGCGAGTTAACTCTGTGGCTCACGAGCCGACGAGCAGCTTGAATGGGTTTGAGCTCAGTTTGCTTCACGACTCATTTTGAGACAAAAATGATGCTTAATTTGGTGCAGAAAGTATTTAACGGAGAGAAACAAAGAATTCAAGTGAAAATCTTAAGAACACGAATTTTGAAATCAACCAAATTATGAAAAATTAAACTTACGAATTTTATTAATGTAAGATGATAAAAAACAATGAGATGACCCTTTATTTATAAGAGTTTACATGAAAACCTAATTTAATAGGACTAAAATTAAAAAAGAATCCGAAATATACAATTTTCGAGTACTAAACGAACTCATCGTCCTCTTTCTGGAATAGTATTATGGGCCCAAATTGAAATTCGGATGCTTTCCTCTGCACTATTACTTCTTTCCTATTTTAATCAATTTTTTTTTCCTTCCATTCAACAATATGTTTTACGTAGTATTCATCCTATTGATAATGTAACATCAAGTCGAGATTGGGAAAAAAAGTCGGTAGATTGATAGCAATACTTAATCCTTGAACAACTCAAAGAGAACATGCATAGTGCTAGAATTCCTAGCTAATTTGTCATGTATTATTGTATATGTCTTTTGGATATATGTATAACAAGAACTATTTGATATTAAGAAAAAAGAAGTTAAAATTTTGATCCGTTATCAATCTTGTTTATTACTATGTAAGAAACGTATCCTCCTGGAACAAACTTTGATCACACATTTATTTGGCAGGTTTTAAGAAATATCAAAACTATTTTCTCAAATTCCTCTTCACATAGGAACCTTAATCATTCTTGATCTTATTGGTTAATGACCGAGCACATCGAGATTAAGGTAAGAAGGAAAATGACATCTTACTGACCATACGAAAATGACTACATGCCGAATTTGTCCACGCGGTTACACGTATCCTAAGTTGTTTAACAAACTAAAGAAATTCCACCAAAAAGCCTTCCTTTTTCCTCCATCCATGTGAAATGTGATGAAGCTTCCAACAAATACAGCTACCAGAGAATCATTCCAAGCTTTTTTTTTTGTCTTTTTATTTGTTTTCACTTTCTTGTTCCCGTGTTGAAATCAAATACACGGAAAGACGTTTTCCCTTGCACCTTAAAATTGATCGAGTAAAACCAACTAGGATTTTGCTATGAGTAATGTTTAACACCAATTTAGGTGACATCGCTTGTATCATTAAATTATAGATTCAATTAAATACAAAAATTTATAACTCATTTATTATGACTTATCAAATATTTATACACGGGTGCTTTAGCGTCACCGAGGTAGGATAATATTATTTTTTTGTTACTTGTACATCAAAATGGTACATAAGGGATTACCGAAAATGATGTGGAGTAAAAAATTGAAAGAAAAAATTATTTGAGTTTTAAATTGACATCATATAATTTTTTATGTGATATCCAACTAACAAATACAAGGAATCTTATCATTATAGCCAACGCGTCTCTTTCTCTATTCTCTTTATATATATCTTCACTTTGCACTTTCTTTTGTCCATCTTTGAAGTTAAAACATCTCAAGCACTCACCACCACTTTTCTATTCATTACATAGAAAAAAAGCTATCTTTCTCCGGCAACAATGGCTTCATCGTTGGGGTTTAAGGTAACCATCCTTTTAGCACTCTTCGCCACCGTATGCATGGCACAAGCACCGGCTGGTGCACCAAAGATTTCACCCACGGCCACACCTACACCAGCACCCCCGGTAGCGCCACCCACTGCTACACCATCTACATCCCCTGCTCCATCCTCAGCCCCAGGGACCAGCCCTACCCCAGCACCTGGCGGTGAAACTCCAACCCCATCAACCGCACCAGGAGCTGCTTCACCAACTGCACCCACCCCTGCCGGACCCACCACCGGACCCTCCACAGATCAGCCACCATCTGATGGCGCCAACGCCGGTTTCGTCCAGAGAGCCGCCATTGGTGGCACAACTCTCGCTGCAACACTTGTGGTTGTTGCTTTGATGTAGTTTTCTACACGTGGAGGTTTGTCGGGACATAGATCTATACTTGTTTGGACGGATGAGATTTATTTTATCCATTTGTTGGGTTTATTAGTAATTTTACTTTTCCCCTTGTCTTTATTCTCTCTACCCCCTTCTTTCTCTATGGTATTTGTCGTGATTTTTATTGTATTACATAGGATTTTAGAGGATGATTTGTTTTTGAGATTATTTGGGAGAGATGACTCTTTGGACTCATATCGGGGAGTCACATGTACATGAAACCAATGAATAAATTGAGATCTTTTATTCTTTTATGTAGCTTTTCATTTCTCTTATTAATTTATTTTTCTATATAATTTTTCGCTTTGTG